ATCCTCCCTCCCAATTTTTGCATTGAAATCTCCTAGCAGAATTTTCATGTGATATTTGCCAAATGTATCAAATACTGATTCCAGTTCTTCATAAAAGCTATCCTTGATATCATCGCTTTTGTCCTCAGTTTGGGCATGAACATTAAGGACAATGATGTTGCACCAACGTCCTTCCAAAATTACGTAAGCCAACCGGTCACTAACAAATTCTACTCTCTTAACTGCTGCCCTAATTCTGCTATGAACATAAAAACCCGTCCCTAACTGATGATTGTCATTCCCCTTTCCATAGAAAAATGTAAAATTGTCCACTGGGATCGTGCACTCCCCCTCCCATTGCAATTCCTGCACAGCCACTAAGTCTAACTTATAATTCTCTAATTCCCTACTCACTGATTTCAGCGCCCCAGCCTTATAGAGGCTCCTGATGTTCCAAGTTCCAAATCTCATATCGTTTTTAATTGCCAAAGAGTCCATACTGGTCCGAGGCTTAGTTAATTTGTTCGTAACATAGCTTTTTTTTCCAGGTGAAAGGCCTTACACCCAACCCCCAACCTGGATGACCAGGGTATCACTCCTAGTCTGGCACATCGCCTTAGACCTGTCCGGCTTGGGTGACCGAAGCTCCGGCCGGCATTGTCCTAAGGGTAATTTGATCACGCAGGCCTCCTGACCCGGCAAAAAATCTTCGAAAAGGTGGTGATACCTTCGTGCAGAGACCGAGGAGAGTGTCCGAAAAGCGCACAAAACCAAACAATTTCGAAAAATTCGAAAAAACGTAGAAGTTGAAATTTTTCAAACTTCTTTTAGTTTAGTGCGCTTTTGGGACATTTTCCTACATTTTTAATTTGTGAAAATTTTGAAAAAATTTATAATTTGTTTCAAAATTCTCCCCACACGATCTCTGCTAGAACAGGTCTCTGCATGAAACGGTCTGCCGCACAATGTCTCTGACGGACGCGGTCTCTGCAAGATCCGTTCTCTGTATCACTCGATATCTGCCAGGCCGTCTCTGCAATGACATGGATCGAGAGACCGGGTGAGGCACATACCGAATCAAGCAGAGACAAATTCACACCATTCTCGGCTGAGTCAAAGAAAATTTCAAGCGCAATCCGGGTGAGGCAGAGACTGAGTCAAGCACAGATTAGTTCTGACGGATGGGTTGTCAAATTTAGAAAAAATATTTTAAAATTTTATAAATTATCCAAAATTTGAAAAACTTAGACTGTCATAACGCATTAACTGAAAGTTTCCAAATTTTTGAAAAAAATTTAAGTCGGAATTTTTAAAATTGTTTAGTTTCGTGTGCTATTCGGACATTTTCAATAATTTTTTGATTTTACGAAAATTTCGACAATTTTGAATATATTTTCTAATCATTCCCCAAGTGATGCCTATGAACAAGGTGAATGCCTCACTCTGTCTCCGCCGGACTCGGCCTCTATCTCATCCGCTTGCTGCCCGCCTCGGTGACTGCAACAACCGGGCTCTGCAGGACTC